TTTCCGGATCCACAAGGGAACCGACTAATCCGGAATCGAGCCGGGTAGGACCACAAGGGCGGCAAAGTTCTCCCTCAAGAGTTTTAACACTGCTGCATTCCCAGGGTTCGAACTCGAGACCACTGATTAAGCTAGAAAAGACCTTGCCTTTAATTCTGAGTAGTTATCATCCCAAAACAAGCCGTCCTTGACTAACTAAACTAAAGTGTCTAATTATGACAACTCCATAAACTTCGAAAAAAATTGTACATGGCCATGGCCATTAGGCCCATTCATTTCTTATCTTCATACTCACTATGGGGACCTCACCTCCCAATCACGTCCAAATGTGAATTCATGATACAAAACAAGACAAAAAATGAACCCTGTTTTAGTCCCAGGTTCCCTACATTAGACACTCTCCACTCCACACCATCAAAAGAGATAACAAAACATGGATTGGCCCCTGAACTCTCTCAACCCTCTCACAACCTCCCTCCTTGTTGTCCTCCTCCTCCTCGGCCTACTCTTCATCCGCCCCAAGCCCGCCGGCAAGACACCACCCGGGCCCAGGGGCATCCCCATCCTCGGCAACCTCCTCCAGCTGGGGGACCTTCCCCACGAGTCCATGCACCGTTGGCGGGGTCCTCACGGCCCCGTCCTCTGGCTCAAGCTCGGCGCTGTTGGGACAATGGTCGTCCAGAGCTCGACATCCGCTGCAGAGCTGTTCAAGAAGCACGACCTTGCCTTTGCCGACCGCAAGGTCCCTGACGTGATCACCGCATTCGATTTCAGCATCGGGACACTCAGCATGAGCCGGTTCGGGCCCTACTGGCGGGCCCTACGCCGCCTCTGCTCCGCGGAGTTCTCCGTCAGCAGGCGCGTGAACGAGACCGCCGGCCTCCGACACCGCCTCCGCGGCGACATGGAGCGGTGGATCCTCGAGGAGTCGGCCGCTGACCGCGCCCGTGGGGGCATGGGGGCTGTCCAGCTCAGCCGGTTTCTGTTCCTGATGGCGTTCAACCTGATGGGGAACCTGATGCTGTCGATGGACCTGCTGGATGCCAAGGATCCTGAGTCGAGGCAGTTCTTCGACTGCATGAGCCGGGCAATCGAGCTTGAGGGGACTCCCAACATAGCCGACTACTTGCCGTGGCTCAAGTGGATGGACCCACTGGGAATGAAACGGGAGATGAAGAGGAATCTGAGCGTCGCGATGCGGATAACGTCCGGGTTCATCAAGGAGAGGCTGGAAGAGCGCAAGGCGGGAAAAGCCCGGGAGACGAAGGATTTTCTGGACGTGCTGCTCGAGTACGAGGGGGATGGGAAGGACGGGCCTGAACGCATTACTGAAAAGAATGTCAACATCGTCATTACGGTGAGTGTTGCATAATCGAGAAAAAATGGTCGCTCGGCATAGTTGTATGAACCGGTGCTTGACGAGTTCCGTTTTTCGGGTTAATTTTTTGGGTCATATTCAAAATTCTTTGAAATAAATCAGGAAATGTTCTTTGCGGGATCTGAGACCACGAGCATCAGCATCGAGTGGGGGTTCGCCGAGCTCCTTCGCAGCCCACACGCGTTCAAGAAAGTGCGGGAGGAGCTTGACCGGGTCGTGGGCGTGGACCGGCGGGTCGAGGAGAAGGACATCGAGAACATGCCTTACCTGCAAGCGGTCGTTAAAGAGGCTTTCCGCCTACACCCTGTAGTGCCCCTGCTGCTCCCCAGGAATGCACAGGAGGATACCAACTACATGGGCTACCACATCCCCAAGGACACGCAGGTGTTCGTCAACGTGTGGTCCATCGGGCGGGACCCGGAGGTTTGGCCCGACCCGCTCGACTTCAGGCCCGAGAGGTTCCTCGGGTCCAATATAGAGTACAAGGGCCAGCACTTTGAGTTGATCCCATTTGGGTCGGGCCGGAGGATCTGCGTCGGGTTCATGCTGGCCCACCGGATGGTCCACCTGGCGATGGCAACCCTGGTTCAGTCGTTCGAGTGGGATCTCGGGCCGGGCGTCAAGCCCGAAGACATTGACAGGGAGGAAAGGCTAGGTTTGGCATTGAGGAAGAAGAACCCTCTGTTTGTGATCCCGACTAAGCGCATAAATTGTTGAAGGATCAAAGGATGAAAATCTATACATACATCAATAAAATAAGTATACATAATTTTAGCTAAACAGGTCAACAAACTGATAATTATATGATCAGTGAAGTTAATTTTAGAAAACCTGCATGCTCTATGTTCTAGGACGATGGTACCTAATGAAATTTTACACTTTGTATTAGACTCCAAAACGCGAATTTCTCATGGAATATTACATGTTCAACTTGAAAAAAATAGGATTCTCTATCTGCCTCGCACCCTTATACGAATGGACCAGATGAGATATCTCTCATTCAGATTTGCATTGCCGCTCATACATTTTGGCGCATCTACCACACTGTGCTATAGACTTTTTCGCCGGGCTCTCCCCGGACCTGGATCTATTATTTTTGAATTCTCGTTGCAGTTCCCAACTTTTCATTGTATTTTTTGTTTGACTAGATCTATATCAGACAATGGACTTGTACCCTTGTGACTGTTCAGGGCATTTTTTATATACAGGTTGGGGATTCAGCATTAACCTCACCCTCCTGGGGTGTTGTTTAAAAAAAAAAAACTTGAAAAAAATAGGATGAACATAATTTTTTTTTCATCAACTAGTAAAGTGTATGTGCAATGCACGTGATGACTGATTCTCTTAATTTTTTATATTTTTCATTATTTTTTAAATGGTTTATTATTATTATTATTATTATTATTATTATTATTATTATTATTATAATTATTATCATTTTATTGCATTGTTACTTTTATTAAATCTATTACTATATAAAACACTTAAAAAAAATACAATTTTAGTAAGATTTTTTCTGCTCAATTTTTTCGAAAATTACCTTTTTGAATTTTTTTTGGAATACTTTTCATAAATACCGCCTACATAAATAATTTGTTTTTGAATGGGATTTGGTGAAACCTGTTTTTGGAAACCCTAAACAAAATATATTGGGATTCTTAAAATTTAAAAAGTTTGTAAAATTTCTTATTCAATAAGATTTCAAATAAAATTAAAAGTCTTGGAATCTGCCTTTTGAGAAGGGAAACCCAAGCGTTTCAGGCACACCACAATTAATGCGAGTCTCTTCATATTATGTCATCGGTACAATGAGAATCTGCGCGAGTTAGATGTCCGCGTCCTATTGAGGACGAATCCTGGCGAACTCGAATGCCATCTCTAAGAAAGATGACCTCAGAAAAAATGTCCTAACACTTTCCATCCGAGCTCGGGGGCCTGTATGTTGGCATCCGAATTAGAAATATAAACCCAAAACTTAACACCCTTAATGAAATAGCTTTACAAACAACTGATCCTCAAAAGAAAAGCTTCCAAGGAGGTCCTCCTAGACTCAAAGTCCAAGTCAACCCCCAACTGTAGATGGTCTGAGCCTGTTAATGGATAGACAAAAAAAAA